AGATAAATAGGCCAATTAAAAATCAGGATCTGATGTAACGTAAAACTTTCAAAATAAACGGTCGCTTTGCAAAAATAACGTTTATCCCAAAATTTAAACCATTAACCACCTTTTGGGATCTAACAAAAAAATTCCTCGTGCAATTTTACTATAGGACTCGTCTTCTCAGTTTTAGCATATGCCCGACCCTAACATAAATGAGTTTTTTTGTTCGAAGATAATTGACCTCGGAAAGTCACATGACCGAAAATTCGATTGATTCTCTGTATTACATAGTCTAAATTCTTTTTTATAACAGAGATTAAATGCAATGTACGATACCACAAGGCTTGAAACTATCTAAACTTACTTCTTTTAAATCATGCAGAGGTCAGTGTATCGCGCATAAATTTAGTGGGTTAATGTCAGTATGCGTTAATTTTATGCACTGCATACACACATATTTATTTTGTAATATGAATTTATGTTGATTTGTCTTGCTCATGCATTAATATAGTACAAATGGCCCATGCTTTGCATTTTGAACAAGATGAGCATTCTTTATACCCGAAGATTATGAAGGAAACCGAAAAACGGGTTATTACATTTATTGTAGTGAGAGGTATTGATTTTTCTTCTTATTAGTCAAAATTGTCTACAAGCATATTACTACTTGTATTAACAATGATATTTATGATTCAGATGGTCATCATTCTCGATAGGCAAACCTTCCAGTATAAGCGATATGTTTCCTTACCTATATTGAATTCATTCGGTTTTCAACAAAGGGTTTCTTCACAATCTTTTAATTAAAGTTATCATGCATACTTTGTCAATTTTTAAAGCCAGGTAAGTTTTAAATTGATTACTAATCGATTTGTAAATTAAAAGTCATGTGTCACATATAAAATACTATCGTTACGACTTCCAAATTGGAACATTGATTATTTTTCTCAACCTAAACGGTACATACAAATTGGGTTAGATCAAGTAATGAATCGAAAGAGTATGCTAATACAAATCTGTTTGGCATTACTTGTTTGGCTTTACTGTTTGCTATTAATAAAATGGCTAAAAGAACTGCTTGATGAATTACAATACCAATATTTGCCTATTATCAACCCACGAAGCCTCATTCAGTCGGCAACAAATTCTATTTTCTTATCTGTTTAGATATTAATAGATATTGTAAGTTAATCATTATATTCATAATTATATTTACAATATATGAATTATTATAATACTAATAATAAAAGATACAAACTAAATAAAAAAATATTTAATATTCATAATAAACTAAAAAAAAATAAAGTTTAATAAAATACATTAGGCCGCACAATATAATATCTTAGTTTTCATAACATGAAACCATACCCGACCAGCCAACTTTTTTCTTTTAAATTTTATCAATTTTATAAATAAAAGTTTATAAATTTTTTTTAAAAAAAGATTTCAAAATCTCACCTGGTTATTAAAACATGTTTAAAATTTGACCCTGCCGGGTTATGAAAACTAATTAATTAATTCTGCATGGCCTTAAATAATAATAAATAATAACAAATTATATTTTATAATAAGTTATAATATTAGAAATTTTAAAAAATGGTTGCGCAATAAAGGATTTGTTAAACTACAAATTTTACACTAAATAATGCATTTAGTAAAAATGTATTATATTAAATATCTTTAGTTGTTTAATTATATGTACTAAATCTGGGCAAAGGGGAGAATTTGACAACAAAAATAATAGTTTCAAAAACTTAATTGCCTTAATAATTATCTAATTTAATAAAAAAATTCTTATTTTAATTCTACAGTATAAATTTTTAGATAATTTTTGAGAAAATTAATTTTTCGCAAATATTTTTTTTGTCAAATTCGTCCCCCTTCCCAGCATCCAGCAGATATAACATATTTACAAAATAATATAAAGTTAAAAAAAATAAAAATATTAATTTTTTATAAAATATATTATTTAATAAATCTTTTATAAAGCTAAAAAAAAAGACATTAAATTTTTGTAAAAATTATGTATAATTACAAAATTCTATTTACTATATCTAGCGATTGAGCTCGTCATCTCATGATTCGGATAACATAAATTTGTTATTTAACTAACAAGTTAAAATATATTTGTCATTTAACTCGCAAGTTAAAATAAATTAATCGAGTACTCTTTGAGTTAAATTCGTTAATCACGAGTTGATACAAGTCAAACTATCATATTTACCTTATAAATTTTTTTTTGATTTACTGTATTAATTAGAGAGGATGCTTTAAACATCTATAAAAAAAACATTGATTCTATAAAGAAATAATTAATAAAATAGTAAAAGATAAATTAAATTACACAGTATTGATCACCTTCAGTTCGTGATTATTTAAAAAGGTAGCTAACAATTAAAGGTTAATAATCTTTTTGTTTATTTAAGAAAAAAAATTGTATAATACTATAATACTATAATACTATAATACTATAATACTATAATACTGTATGCTGTATAAAGCATTTTAAAAGACTTAATTCAAAACGACGGAACATAATTTTTTTTCAGGTGCCCAAGAAAATTTTGAAAAATTTTGAAAATTAGTAATAAAAAATAAAAGACAAAAAAAAAAAAATAATAATAAAAGAAAATAAACAAATAAAAGACAGAAGAGTATTTCATAAATTTATGCTAAAAAAAACATGGCAAACGTATGGTGTTGATATGACAAATGTTACATGGGATTGGTTTGTCGCATATCACATTTATTGCGGCGGAATTAAAAAGTATTGGTAAAATTAAACCAGAATAGTGATGAAATTATTGATGAAATTATTGGAAATTATTGATCAAATTATTAGTGAAATTATTGGTGAATTGAAGAAATTTAGTAAAAGTAATTTCACTAGCATCTTTTGACCAGCATCTTTTGACAACTATGAACCATTTACTGGGTTCACAGTACATACGTACATTACTGATACGTACGTACTTACGTACGTAGCATGGAGTATAGAGCATGGAGCATGGAGCATGGTACCACACTAATCCAGATAAATGTACCACACTAATCCATATAAATGTTACATAATCAGCAGAAAAAAGAAACTTGAAAGATTACTTGTGAAATTAATTAGACTTGAAATTGTTCCACATCAAATCACAAATCATAAATCATTAGATCACGGACGTTTCACATTATTTACTTGACGCACTGTCAAAATTTAACATGTTTATCCGTTATTCGTATTTTATGTACACAAAAGCGTAATGTTTTTTATAATAAATATAAAGATTGTGATAGGATCCAGTCAAATTGTGCAGCAAACTTTGAACGCGTAAAATTGTGTTATGCATTTTATATTGTAACATATTGTAACATATATTGTAACATATATTGTAACATATATTGTAACATATGTGCAGAAATTTGCGCGAATCAAAATTATTTCATTGTTCTTTTTTTGGCCTGGGACATTAGTAAAAAAGAACAATTTTCAATATAATCTTTTTTCCATTTATAATTTTATAATAATTTTAGTACAAGAATAAATTATATATTTTTGTACACTTAATATATTATTTAGTTGAACGAACAGAAAACTATTTTTTTTCTGTCCCACATAATAAACTTGTGACGCCAGTTTCGTAATCTTATGTATTCATATTTTTCTGCAGTGACCCTGCATTGCTTTAACTTGACACCTAAAAAGAAAAAAACAAATATTAAAATGATTGCACCAACCATTTACAAAAAGTTATTTTTTAACCAAATTTGTTGGTAAAGAGCGAGCGAATCGGTGGAAAAGTAATAGAAGCAATGCGGAACATAACAAAAAAAAAAACGCGAGAATGAAGCCTGCCCTGCGAGTATGCGATAAGTATCATGTGATCATTTTATTCACTTTTCCTTTGCCTACTTTGCTGTATGTCTACTTTGCAACGCCATATTTTGTTTGATATAACGCAATATTTTGTTTTATGACATGATAGTAGAATTCATTCATGTTAATGTTAGCGTTAAAATTAATAAGGTAATAATATTAATTAATTATGTATTAAAATTAATAATGTATTAAAATTAATAATATTAAAACATTATTAACATTAATAACATTTTAATAATGTTAGACGTTGAAATTTCAATATAAAAAAAATGGCGGGAAATTAAAAAATCTTAAATAACAAACAAATTTACAAATTTATACTCAATGACCGATTGTTCTAATAATGTATTTGTAAGGTAGTTCAAAAAAAATGTAACTAGCTTCCGCCAAAATTTCTGCAAAACGATACATGTCATCAAAACAACCATGCAAAATAACCCTGCTTTTAAATGTTCCTTTTGATTTTTTATTCGTTCTTTTTATTCAGCAACAAATAAAATAAAATTAAAGGTAACACTTAGAGCTCTATTATACATTGACGCATCGCCCATCCGGATATTGGCCCGAACTTTATGATATAATTAAGCATTCATATATACTTATATAAATTATTATGTAATAAGTTACAGTATATAGATATATATATATATATATTTTATACTTATATATTTTTTCATGCGTAAAAAACTTTTTTGTACTCCATTGTCTCAATGCGATAACCTGCATGGTTTACAATTGTTTGAAGTCTTTGTTGACATTAACCTAAACGGTTAAACCTAAATGGTGCAAGCCTCAAATAGAAAACCTTGATGCTATTAATAATATTAATAAATATAAGTTATATATAGACTCGAAAAAAAAAATGTACATGCCCTGATTTGTATAAATACGAGACGTGTGAACAAACTTATTTTGATCTCTCGGTTAAGAGCGAACCCATATTATTATCTCTCCCTATAAATAACTATCTTTAATCAGGCTTTGTAAATTATTAGAAATCTCTTTAATTCTCGTCACTGCATAAATTTCAAAGTATTGAATATCTCTTCCTAAATACAGAAATATATATACTTATACATATATATATATATATATTTAAAAGATAAAAAAGATATATTTAAAAAAAACCATATTTTAATATTCAAAGATGACAAACACTAAAGCAACTATGAGTCAAACATCTATAGATGATACCTTTGCTAATTTCGATAATAATAACATTTCTATAGAAAATAATAGTGATGAATGTATTCTTGACACTTTTCGTTACATAGGTGGAAGAAGATTTCATAATGTTTTAGATGCTAAATATTTTCTTCCAAATGATAATGGTGAAGTTGATCGTTTAGAAGGACAACATTTTCTTTATCGACATATTTGGCAAGGCAATTTTTCAGCACCTGTCTCTCAAATATTGCAACAACCTGGTGCTTGTGTTCTTGATGTTGGTTGTGGTCCTGGTTCTTGGATCTTAGAAATGTCTTGTGATTTCCCTTCCGCTATTTTTGTTGGCCTTGATATTTCGCCGATTTTTCCTCCGGAACAAAAAAAACCTCCTAATGCCACTTTCCTTCAAGCAAATTTGTTGGATGGCTTACCTTTTCCTGATGGAACTTTTGATTTCGTTTATCAACGTTTCATGGCTTCTGCTTTAGAAGAATCTCAGTGGAGAGATGATGTTATCGCAGAACTTGTTAGAGTTGTCAAACCTGGTGGTTGGATCGAATTAATGTATGTAATATTTAAATTTTGAATTTAATATTTATTTGATAATTTTTTTAATATTTAAAATTTCTTATAATTTCTTATAATTTATTATAATTTCTTATAATTTAGGGAGCTTGATGTCGTTTGTACCGAAGATGTCAATGCTCCAACTTATCAACGATTTAATCGTTCACGTAAGCATTCACTCTTTTCTATCTGAATTTTTCATATTGATATACAGTATAAGCAATATCGTATAGTATAAACAATTAAAAATATTTCTATGATTTTTTTACAGTTATGGACTTTCTCGCCGATCGGGGCATTAATGGCTTAATTAGTTCTAAATTAAAAGGTTATTTAGAAAGTACACAACAACTTACAAATATTCAATGTGAAGAACGTTCGACTCGAATTGGTCAATGGGGTGGAAGACTTGGTGAAATGGTAATTTATCATTCTTAATTTATCATTCATAATTTATAATAATTTATCATAATTATCATAATTTATAATTTATAATTTATTATTATCATAATTTATTATCATAATTTATCATCATAATATTAACCTACGATTACCACTACTATATATAGATGTGTATTGATCTGTTAGAAGGCGTTGCTGCATGTAAACCAGCTTTATCACAATTTATGAATATCACATATGACGAATTTGATTCTATGTTGCAAACGGTGCGCATGGAAGTTGATTCAAGTCAGCTTTGCTGTAAGACTCATAGGCAAGTATAAGTATGATTATTAAGCATTACATTTTTCTCTCCCATTGACCACGTTCTTACCTTAATTTATTTTTATCATTATAGATTCTATGCACAAAAAATTTAACCTTACCATTTTTACAAAAATACACTGTACATTATATAAATATATTTAAGAAAAAAAAACTCTATGTTTATATGTATAAAAAGTGATCTTATAATTCGATTTCCCAAACTTTATTTACTTAATAATTGTAAGAATATTCAATACTATATAAAAACAAAATTATATGTACAACTTACTCGTTAGATTTAATAATTTTTTTCTATTTTTTTAATTAAAAATTAGGCTTAATTTTTTTTTTAAAATAAAAATTTTTTCGTTTTTTTTCTACATCCCTTTGACTTAATAATTCGATGATTTTTTGTATACCGCGCATTTTCTTTCATTTATTAAAATCGATGATCAGTTTCATTTACGTATTTTATGTAAAGTTAAAATAAAAAAATTTCATTTAAGAGAAAAAATTATGAATAAAAATAGTAAAAATACATTTATACTCGTAAAATACATTTATACTCGTAACAATGCTGCCACGTGTAGGGGTTTTATGAGCATGTACATCGATACCAATATCGATATTGATAAATACTGATAAAATAACAATTATCATTATCATTATCATTTTCATTATCAATAGCGATAACGATAAGATTCTAATCAACATTATACTTTAAGAAATTCATCAGACATAACATTGTAGATCCCGGAAATTTTGTGTCTATCGGAAAAATTAACTAAAAATTCTTTCGTAATGTAGTACAACCTATTAATATACCAATACTGCAGAACTGGCACGCGAGTAATACATAAAATATATACAATACATACCAACTCCTAAAAAAGAATCAGTCAATCAGCGAGTTCAGAATCCGAACACATGTGAAAGAAAAAAAATAAAGAAAGTGAAAATGGTGTACTAATTAAAAAAATGTCAGGATCAAAATTTTACACATAAGAAGTGACACTTTATTCCTATATCCTCCAAGTCAACGCCCTAAGTGTCCTCACGTACTTTATTTTCACGCCCAATTTCATGTATTACTCGCGAACATATGTATATGCTATAATTTCCCTGAAAGGGTCTCTTTGTTCATACACTCTTTCATCTTGTAACCTCTCTTGTAACCTCTATTGTATTAAATATCGCTTTACATTTTTGAATCTTCTTATAGTATATGATATTATATATACACCAGAAATCCAGATCATCGAATGTCGGAAAATACTGTAGCAGGTTATTGGGTATGAATTAAGTAACAAGCCTGGTGGATTGATTTTTAACCGAATATGGCAGGATGTTTGGTGGGCCAACAGTACTGTAGATAAAATATTTCTGCAGTCGAGATGCATGCTAATAAAATAACACTAGATAAAATCTTCATAGATTAAGAAAAGTCTTAGTCAATTTATGGAATTAAATTCATCCAGAAAGCATGAAATTTGAAATTTACCTTTTACATTCTGTTTTTTTTTTTCTTCGGATAAAATATATGATCCAATCATTATTATACCTAAATGGAGCATTTGCTTAGTAAAATTAAATGTGTTTCTTAAAAATTATATCATCTTACTGTAACTGTTTTGATTCTGATTTAACTTTACGGAACAATCATAAAGTCTTTTTTTATTTATTTTTTAATTTTTATAAACCACTAAATTTGACCAATACAGTTACCGTGTATCAACGCCTAAATTGTTAACAATGACATGTAAATATTACCATTTTAATTTTTGCATCAAGTAACACGATAATGTATGTATATATACTGCAAGCTACTTTTAGTGCGTGCGTACAGTACGTACATAACTCATATTTCTTATAAAAAAGAATAATGTCACAACCCCATAAAGAATGGTTTCAACGTCTCTTTAATGCATTCTACAAGGGTGAAACATTAATTGAATTTCCAATTGATAATCTCCCTCCAAATGATTTTGTAGAAATCTTTAATAGAGACGAAGAAATTATTATTAAAATTTTACAAAATACCACGAATATCTCAAATAATGTCGTATGGTATTGGTTCAAAGACAATGAACATAAAATAATTGATCGAGCAATTGAATATATTGATGAGAATTTTCTACCCAATATAAATATTGGTTCTATAGAAACAAGTGAAACGGAAAAATTTAATGCGGATGCTGATAAAGATAATTCAGATAAAGGAGAGGAATGGAGATTAACAGAACGACTAATTTATAATCTAGATGATGATGATAAAACAATTGTTCCTGGGCTTCATTACCTTTTAAAATATAAGTGGACTCCTGCTTCAGGACCAGGAGAAAATGACCTGATTATTACCAATGGTAGAGGCATATTCGCTATCGTGGAGGTAAAAAATAATCGAAGTGAGGATGACAAGAAATACCGAATGAGTTACGCTCTTCGTCAAGCTATGTATTATAAGCGTAAATTTATTGAGGAATGTAATGTTGTTTATAATGTTGATGATACTTCGTTTGATGTCATTGTTGTTATTGGATTAGCAATTGGTAAGGATAATAAAAAACCAATTGGTAAGGATATTAAAAAACTATGCGTTGGATCTTTTGATGAACAAGTTTGTAAAACTCTCAAAGAGAGATATTGTAGTAATAACTCAAACCAAGTTTTTATATATAATACCCAATCACCTAACCCATCAAGTTCGAATTTAAATAGTAACTGAAAAGTTACTTTTTGAAGTCAGCTACCCAGCTGGGTTTCATGTATAATTAAGTCAGAGACAAAATTGCAGACAAATTTTGCCTACAAGCATACATACTAAAGATGTTCAAATATAATTTCTATATGATGTTTTCAAATATTTTATTGTATTATTTCAATGTAATTATTTTTGTTAAATGTACCTTTAATAAACATTTTATATTAAAAATAATTAGTTCTGAATCTAGAATTATTTTTTGCCATCTATTAACGTTCTGATTTTTTTCTTGTAATTAGTAATTGCATTCCGCCACCCAATTTCAACCAATTAATAATTAGGTATGTGCTTATAAACAATTATTGATAATTTGATACCACGCTTTACCCTCATTGCAACGGAGTAATCGGCTGGACAATTCTATCCGTTATAATAAATATCCGTTATAGTAATATACAATATAATAATAATTTTAAAGTATTCTAGAAAATTACTTTGTTATGGTACGAAATATATTTTAATGAGGTCTGTTATAACGAGGATAGAGTGTATTTTTATTTAATTTTGCAATCAAAATTAAAAGAATTTTTAAAAGATTTTAAATTTACTTTTTTTTTTTAGTAAAATAAAAAACTCCGCATTTAGAATATGAGATTAGTATGTTTAATAAGTAAGTTCTAAATAGAATTCTTTTATATAATTTTTATAACACATTTATAATATTGCAATAGTAATTTCATGTGGTGTGAATATATCTTTAGTTAAAGGTTTGTTAAAAAATTTTGATATAGCTTTTATTTAAAATATTTAAAATTTGATTAAAAAGAAATTTTAATAACTACTTAAGCAAATTTAATAAAAAATTTTAAATTTATTAACTAATACTATAATAGTAAAATTTAGTTTTTTAAATACTAAATTATAATTTTATATTACATATTTCAAAACTGGTTTATCTATTAAAGCTTTTGTTAACAGACCCAAGTATATAACTACTGTATTTTTTCCCAACATGTATACCCCCATGAACTATACCCTGCAGCAATTTAAGGTGCTAAATTTTGATTTATATCCGGGTATATAAGTATGGGAGTATCATACTTATGTATCCGGACATATAATAGTAAAACATATCAAAAGCATAGAAGTACTCATACAGTATATCCCTACCACGTATCCTGGGTACATATGTTGGGAAAAAACGGTAATATTTTTTAACTACTCTTGTATCTAGACTAATATATAATCTGCTACATGATTGATGTTATAAATAGCTTAAAATATACATTATCGTAAACTTGTAAATAAATTGTGGTGTGTTTGTACCATGCCATCATGTTTTTGTAATTATATCAAAGTAAGATAAAATGTATTCTGAGAATGTTTATAAATATTTTTCAAGCTTAACAAAAACAATATATCAGGAACAGAGTTTCACAAAAGTGAAATGAAATATATAAACAAAATCTTGTATTTGGTTGGTTGGCATAATTATAGATCTTACCTTTCCTGCTTTTATAAGTATTTTCAATTTTTTTTGGCAATTGCTTATTTATATTTCTAAGTTTATTTTAATAATAAAATACTAACTGTGTATATTATATAGTAAATATAAAAATAGTTGACATTAATTTTATTTATAAAATTAATATAATTATAACTATATATGCTAATGAAATTATTTTGGGGTCTAAAACCTGAAATTAAAATTTGAAGATAAATTGTTTTTGATCTATTTTATTTAAAAGATAAAATTTTTTGATGCTTTTTTTAAAGAGATGAAATTATAAAAAATATAACTATCTAAATTAAATTTGCTCTTGTATATAAAAAATTCTAATTTTGTTCTAATAGTAATGAAATACAGTTTTTTTGAAAACCTATTTTGGTGGCATATATAATTATGATACTTGCTATAATAATTAGTATAAAACCACAAACTGTAGTGCAATAAAAGTTAAAAGAATTTAAAGTTCATTTATAAATTGAGAAGTTACCAGAATTTAAGCTAGTTTGAGTATTTATAAATATTATATCTATATCATTAAAGCTCTATATCTTTTTATATTAAAGTAATCTAATTGGCAATTAGACTATATGCAACTTGTTATTATTTTATCTTTAGAGATTTGATTAGTTATAATACTTCCATGTCACATTTTTTTATTATTACATTTTATTTATTAAATTTAGTATTAGCATTATAATAAATTTTGATTTATTAATGATATTTATTATTAATTCTTTCCAATGATCCTCTGGTTAACAACTTCAAAAAACTGAACTATGAAAAAATGTTATAAAAGATATCAAAAAGTAATAATATACTTGGTCTTACACAAGTAGGTGTATTGTTAATGAAGTACCAAGAGTGTAAAACTGAGGTGTAGACTACATTAAACAGTTTTTGTGGAGGTCAAGCTTTTTGGTCAGTGGGCTTCTCTATTATATTTGACATCTAAACCAGAAGGTTATTCTGAGAACACAGAATGACTAGGTTGATGCTAACATATTAAAAAACTAGAGATTGTTTCTATATAACTATAAAACTTACAAGAAAAAACTCACAAAGTTTCATTGGCCTACCACTTTTTTTAAAGAAATTTTGTTAAAAGTGAGCATCTTAGCTTACCACTTCTAAAAATTGATATATAATTTTTTAAAACAATTGATATTGTTTATCTACCAAAACAGTATTGTTTATTTTTAGTAATTAGTAATTAGATATTTTTTTTTTTTTTTTTTTTTTTTTTAATGGTGAGGCCATGCCTTTAACTTTATTGAAATTTAATTGAAGTTTTTACAAAGAAAAGCTTACTTTTAAATTA